GTGTGAGCCAGTTAAAAGAAAAGGCTTTGGCTAAATAGATTCTTTGACTGCCAGGGATTAGAGTCATGGCACCAGTGGTAACACACATCTTTTCCTTTAATTTACAAAATTTTCTCACGAGTTTGCAAGAGTTCACCCCATCAGGGGCTTTCTGAGGCCATTGAAATGTCTTAAGTTTTAATTAAGTTGGAGTTGTCAGAAGAAAGCTTTTTTGGCACAGAGTCAGGGTCATTAATTACTGCTATCTTTGTTTCTTTCAGAAAAAAAGAACTCTACTGACTTGTTGGGTTACTTATACAGCCTACATTTTCTATCCCGCAGTCCTTATTCACCTCCAAGCAAGGCTTGATTAAGCAGTTTACCAATTACTTCCATCAATCTGATTTACAAATCCTATGGGTAATCTTAACTTCAGAAGCTTTTCTCTCTGCTGATTTGAGGTACAGTAGTAATGAAAGGAGCATTACTGTTAGAACCACAAAGTATTTTTAAAAGTCTAGATTTTCCATCCTAAATGGTACTTGAATCACATTCCTGATTTTATCATTTCGTACCCATCCTCTTATACTCTTGTAGCTGGATTGTCAGTTATTAGCAGACACAAGCCACACTGCATAAAACTAAGCAGAATAAACATAATTTCCTTGCTATCTTGCAATTGTGGGGTAAAAGTTCATGTTTTCTGTCAGTCAAATAAATATGTGCAAAAAGGCTAGCATTCAAATCACAGGACACAGTACCTGCATTTGATAATAGTAGAAAATTTATTGCTAGGTGCCATTTATCAAAAAATTAAGAAGTCCAGAATAATTAACTAAAATTGTTACCCTGTAACAATTATTCACTGGCCTAAACAAAGCCTAATTTGTCAGCTTTGTTTCTACCAGATGCATTCACATCATAAAAAAGACAACACTTTAACTGGCACTAATTTGCTGCTTCATCAGAGTTTGAGATACAGGGAATGCACTGTCTCCCTCATTCTTAGAGACAATGGCCTTGAGGTTCAGTGTGAAATATAATAATATATAGCAGTATATTCTATATCCGTTCCATAGATAAAGTGAAGATTTTGATTTCCAAGTTTGTCTATTCTTTGCCTCTGGTGATCACTAACTTCCCAATTGTTAACACAATTAACATATATTCCTCTAAACCAAATATACCACAGTTTGATAGACATATATTTTCAGGCACCCAGTAAATTTTTGGGTTTATACAAAGCATTTTGCATAAATGTCATTACCATTATAAGAAAGCTTGATAACTATCTTTCTAAATACACTATTTGTTCATTTAAATGCAGTTTGTTGTATCAAAATCCTCAAATTCCTTGAAGCCTGCAAAAGGCCTATGTTAAACTATGTATTTTGCACTGCTTTTAATAAAAACACTGGGAAAATAATGCTTTTTCAGAAACTCTGACTTGGATTTCTGATATATGGAGTATACTTTACCATTTTGAGCTACTCAGCTCAGCGAGTGGTTGCTCAGAGACTGCAAGACTTGAAATGTCTGTAGTGTAGTATAAATTATTTTGATCCTCCCTTGGGTATTTACTTAATTTCTCACCCATTTACTGTACTTCGCATAAAATGGTAGAAGTGAGATAGAGACTATTAAAAAGCTAGGAACACTACCAAGAACATTAACCAGCTCTGGGAAGTTAAGATACCTGCAACAGAGGCAATCTGCTGTTAAAGAAAATACTTTGCTTCTATGCATTATGCTTCTGTCTGTTACCTCTTTTTCCTAAATACAACATCAAAAATAACAGTCCCATAGAAATTACTGTGGCATTTATTTCATAAAATATTGAAAAGTGGTACTACAAAGAGAGTACAAAACTGTGTTGAAACTTGTTATAAAATAGTCATCTCTTTGTTTGTGGCATTTTATTTGTAACAACTTTATTGTGGCACTGATTTTCAAAGCATCATGGAATTTTATCAATCCTTGTTACTGTTTTCATTTTTTTTTTTTCACCTTAGTTAAGATTCTCTCTAACACCAAAAGCAATCCAACCAATTTATTTAAGTCTACAGGATTAATCTATATAGGGATACATATCTGTCATCATATCCCTGAATTCTTTCTTCCAACATACAATTCCATTGTCACCAGCTTGGCCAGTGTACACTTGCAACTTGTTGCTGAAGTGCTCTTGAAGTGAGGGACTGGGAGAACCAAACCTTAGGGACATGGTTTCCCACCCTTATGTTTTTCAGGCTGCAGCTACCACCAGTGTGTCATGGTACCTGTGCCTACAGCGCTGGGAACAGACACTCTAGAATTTAGGGCTGTTTCCTCTCTCCTCTAGCAAGGACTTTAGCTTTTTCAGAACTCTGGCTTACTTTTATTATTTTTCTTCTGTAGTTGAACAATATCTTTAAAATCCATCTCTCTCTTTAAATAAATACACACAGAAATAAATACACTGATAAGAAAAGACCTACCAGGCTGTCAGTGTCAAAAAGCCCCTTAAGAGGCTTACATGTTT